CAGGCTTTGCAGATTATAATCAGCTTGAAGTTGCAGAACCACAATATATGGACCACCCACCAGCTGATAATGATAATGATATACCACCAATTGTAGCCTCTGTTGAAAATCCATCACTTCAAACTTATAAGCCTGAAGTCGCAGATGAACCACAATATATGGACCACCCACCAGCTGATAATGATAATGAAATACCGCCAATAGTAGCCTCTGTTGAAACTCCTGGAGGGCAATCTCGTTCCAATGCAAAATATGAGAAACCACCCATTCATGTTCTTCTTAAGAAACCACTTGTTTAATTACAAGCTACAACATAATTATGCGTGGAGACGCCCCAAGCTATCAGACCAGAAAAATAAGAGGGTATGTCATAGGATTTTATGTATGTTGATCTTGCTATTTTGAAAATAAGTGAGTAATCGGTTGTATATTTTGGTGTTATACAAATAAGCAAATGTGTGAAGGCATTATTTATACGTCTCAACCTAATTATAGGCATTGCTGGTAGAACATTCTATAATCTTAAAATTAAATGCAATACTCTGAAAAATAACAATACATGATAGAGATTCAAATCAAAACAAAATATATAGTTGCCTAAACACATATTTTTGAATCTTCTCTAAGAATCTAAAAGTCCTTATTAACCGTTATCCCATATTCCATCATTTTAATTTGAATTGTGATGAAGTTATATGAATGACTTGGGGTTTTTGGAACAATTTATACACAATGAAGTTCGTTCTACCTAGCCCTCCCCCCCCCCCCAATTGATTATCTGATAAAGTCAAATTCAAGTACTGTCGAATCTAATTGAGGGTAGCTCTTCAAAAGACGTTTTCTTTATTCACGCGAACTCGAGACCTTATGCTTACGTATCAAAGCCCCTTCTATTAGGACTAACACCTGTTGTTTATTTTGCGTAGGTAATTGCATGAAAAATATGGGTTTTGACTTTTGAGTGCTCATGTAGATTTATGGTTTATGGGTTCATGTGTGTGTACATAGTACATACTGTTATAAATTGGATTGGTTGTACTGGATGTGGCATTAACCGTAACTTTGAGATTCAAGTGGAAATTTGGGGGGGGGGGGGAACAAGTAAGAATTAAAATTCTACGACATATATAAAAGCACTCTACGTTCATGAGAGAAAAAGAGCGACAAAGATTACAAAGACAATCTCTGTTTTTTTTTTTTTTGGGTTAAAAAAACCACTTGAATTATTCAATGATTATTTGTAATTGTACTGTTCGAGTGCTTTTACAATCAAGATTAAAATCAGCTTTTGGCTTCTAAATCAGATGGGTCAAAAGCTGATCTAGACGTGCCAAAAATTTTAAAACGTGGCTCCAAACATACCCGTAGTGTTCGGAAAGCCCCATAATCAATTAAAATAAGCTCTTTTATGTTTCGGCATGCATACACATGGAAATAACCTATCAAGGGTTAAGGTGCAAACCCATTCCGAATTCGCAAATGTACATTTGGAAGTTGGAGCCATAATATTCTTTTGGATGTAAAAATTTAATGAAGATTTCAAAAGGGTGTGAAAATTATTTTATTAATGTTTAGGTCTAGTATTGTATCTACTATATCTTTTATTGTAAAGAAACTACAAATGGTATTTGTCATATTATAATATATTTAGAATTTTGTCTTCCAAATATTGTATATTGTAATAACCTATAAAAAATATCTAGTTATTCATATTCGTTTTGGGACCAATCAAGTCATTTTCATTCAGCAAGTCCCAGATGGAAAGCACTATATATATACACTACCAACCATATATTTGCATGAAGAATAAGAAAAGTATTACTTCACAAAATATGTTAGATATAATATATATATATATAATCTAAATTAATGATAAAGTCTTCCAAATAGTACAACCAAATTAAGAAAAATAAGTGTTAATGCAGCCGTACAAATATAGCGGCAGAGTACATTGCCAGCCTGGACTCAATTTTTTTAATCATTATTTCATTTATTAAATGCATTATTATAATAAAATATAATATATTAAAATATAATGGAAGCACACAAGATGCCCACCCCAATTGGCCACACGAGTTGCTCTATAAATTATATTGGAGCTCATAGTCTATGATTTGCACTCACAGCAAAAGTTTAGCTCAACAATGTCCTCCAAACACTTCTTTCCAGTGCTCCTTTTTGGAGCGGTGTTTCTCATCGCTTCATTTGAAAATTCGGAGGCTTATCACCGCCGGCCACCACCAGCTGCTAATAACAACCATCCTCCGGCCGATAACGATAACATCCCAACATTAGACTCATCCTCTGCTGAAATTGCGATCATTGATGAGCAATCTCACGACGACAATCCAAAATATGAGGGACCATCGATTCATGACCTAGTCAAGAAACCACTTGTTTACAAGCCACACTTTTGAAACCTACCTACTTTTGAGTGGAGAAACTGCCAAGCTATCAGCCCGTACATACAAAAATAAGGTAGTGTCATAAGATTTTACATGTATATATAGTTTGGTATTATAAGTGAGTATCATGAATAATAATTAAATGTATTAATTTTAATATGTGTGTGTGTGTGTTTTTAGAGCATGTTTGGTATGTCAATGGAAGTGGGATATTAATTTTAATAAATATATGTATTTTATTATGAGAAGACCAAAATACCATTATTTTTTGAGAAAATAAAGCACAATCCCATGGATTGAAGCTGAACCAGATCCCAGGACAATCATCCCTTGCCCATGTGACCACCGTCCACCACCGTGCATCGAAGTTGTCCCACAACAACACAATCAAATCACCCAAAAACCATCGTTCCTTTTCCTTCTCCTCCTCTAGCTAACTATAAATCTCCAATACACCAATTTTTTTGGGGTTTCGATTTAAGCTTCTTCCAATCGCAAACAATGATAAAAGGAAAACCAATTCTTCCAATCGCAGTCAAAGTTAGATTTCATTCACTTCAACTACTTTCAAATACAATGTTTAAAGAAAAATTGAAGCAATCAGCGTAACGGAACCTGCCGAAAATGAAGAAGACAGAATCAAATCTTGAATGGCGCGTGGAATCGTAGAGCATAAATCCAGCAATCTGAGGTCTTCGTCGTCCTGCCGCAATCGATGAAGACACAAACAAGAGGTCATCTCAGAAGAGATCGAGAACTTGGAGATCCGTCCTCCTCCGTCGCATTCGCCGTCTTCCGTCTCTTTGCGTTCACCGTTGTCATACTCAATCGTCCTTGGTCTTTCAATGGAGAGAGGGTGAAGGGGTAAAATGGTCACATAAGTGAGTTCCATGGAACTGGAACCCAGTTCTTATGGGGGAGCAAGGAAGTGGCAGCTATCATAGTTGATGGAACTGACATTTCCATGGAACTGGCTTCCCTCTTACCAAACCATCCAATTTTCCACTTCCTGTCCCAATTCCAGTTCCAAGCCTTCAATGCTACCAAATGGAGCATCAGAGTGTTGAATGATTTATGCTTCTTTTCTTTGACGATGCTTTGGGGAAGAAATGATAATTGATTAATTGAACCAGTAAGAATCTAATATTGGGAAGCAATATCTACAATTTTTTGTTTCGAAGACAATGGTTCGTCGCTTCTCCCACCGTTCCTTGCCGTCAGAGTTGCCGTTGTCAATGCAGCATTTTGATTCTTTTGGCATGCTTTGATTCTGAGTTTTCCAGCTTCACTGTGCCATCTTTCCCACTTGCTTTGTTCGACTTTTGGTGGTTAGAAGGATTGGAGTTCGTCTTTTCTTACTCTTGTTTGACTGTTGATGTGATCTTTATCTTCCTCTCCTTTAGACTCTTAGTTTACTGCTGTCGGTGATGGAGATAAGTTCGTCCTCTGCATTTTATTTCTCTGTTTTGGATTTAATGTTCGTATTTGTGCTGGGCTGTGAAATTTTTGGTTTGTTGTGGCTGTTATGAAGTTTATTAAGACTGGAACAGTGGATTAATATGCTTGGTCATCTTGTTGGATATTTACTGCATATATGGTGTTTGTAAAAATGTTTAGGAGAAAGTTTGCTTAGAAGTCATGCTTTGTCTATTGAGTCAAGATGCTTGTTCGGTGGATGACTTTGAATGATTACATGATCTTTGATGGATTGAATGATGATAATGGTGAATTGTGGGTTGTAACGTGAGTAGTTTGAAGATTATTCTTGCAATGTTGATGGCATCCAAGTAACGGGAGAATTGAAGTTCAACGTGAAACATTTGATTTGTCATTTAAGGACCAAGTTAAATTCCTCTCATGTCCTTTGGGTTTAAATTGATAAGGATGTTGTGTTGAAAATGGCACCCAATACGGTAAATCTTGTGAGATAAATTAAAAGTGTAATGTCCATCCTATAAGAGCTATTAGAATTTGGGAGTCAAAATAGCAAGGAACAAAAAACCGGATAAACTCACTTTATCATTAGAGGCTTCAGAACAAGTGTTACCCTGATTACTTTGTGTGCTTTCCACAGGAGTTGGACTCGGGTCCGATTGGCAATGCTCTTGAATAGTGCACTGGGTATTAAATTGGTCGGAACAGTGGGTCAATGGGTCAGATCGGGATTAGACCGGGTTAAACTGATATTTATATTTTCGGTTACGGTTCGGTTTTGCTCACCCCTATAGAGAATAACACCGAACCGAACACCGAACACCAAAGGAGGGAGAGTGGAGAGGTTAGGCTTCAAAGTTCAGGAGTTATTCTCTCTAGGGGTGAGCAAAACCGAACCGTAACCGAAAACCGAACCAAACCGAATTTAATTCGGTTTTTATTTTTTTTTGGTTAATTTTTTCGGTTATTTCGGTGTTCGGTGTTCGGTTCAGTGTCCATAAAATTTTTTTGGTTATAACCGAATAATTGAATATACTATTTTTTTTAAAATTTTTTCTATCTTTCTTAATTTTAGAATATCACGGTCCAGTCATACCCAGACCCAATACTTGGTCTGCCTGACTCCTGAGCCCAAAGTTGAGCTCTAGCCCAGTGCCCTCTCCATTAGTTAGTACTCTCATCTCTCGGTCTCTCCCTCTCACAGATTGAAACACCCACTTGCCAAGCTCCTGCCCTAGATCCCGCCAGCCCAGCTCTTCCCCGCTACCAGTGTGCCCCTCAAGCTCTTGCCCTAGATCCCACCGGCCGCACGCGGCACGCCACAGCCTCTAACTTCGCCCTCCTTCATCCTCCCCTTCTCAGTGGGAGAAGATCTGAAATCGCAGCATCGACCTCCCCTCCTCAGCAGGAGATGATCTAAAATCGACCATTGTTGCCTCTACTTCCTTCGTTCGTCCCTTCTCAGCTTCTCATTGTTCGTCTCTGAGAGCTTCAGGTTTGTGGGTTGTGCCTTCTGACATCCTCTCCTCCATCATCTTCTATTCGGACTTTGGCGACTCTGCTTCGTCTCTCAGTGTCTGTGCACCTCCAAATCGGTCGATCATGGCCTCCCTCCTCAACTCCATTGCTCGGATTCCGAGCTTCATTGAAGCCTTCTGGCACATCTCCAGTCCAAAGGGGTAACTTCAAGTCCTCTTCCCTGTCTTTCAACTCCACCGCTTCTGTTGCCCCTTCATTTGGTTTTCAACCATCGTCGCCTTCTTCTGAAGTACAAGGTATGTGGGTTGGTTCGTCCCTATTTTGCATCTTGCCATGCTGCTGTTGCTTGCTTGCAGAGCTGAATTAAATATGGTTAGAATCATTTCTTTCCTTGCAGTGTTCTTAGCTAGACAGAATATTAACTAACTGATTGAGTTAATTGATTTGTCATGTAATTCAATTTTTTCTCTCTCCACAGAACATGAAGCTAAACAACTAGATTCCTCATAAATTTGATTTGGCATGTAAAAGCATCATTAAGAAAATTCAGCCCGAACCTTGTCCCTTTCTGTTGTTTTGCACTACACTGCACAAATACCTCTCCGGTTAGAAAATGTAAATTAAAAAGAGAGATTGATTACAGATGGGAGTTATCTATTCATTATAAATTGTCCTCATTTAGTTTCTTATATAATTTGATTGATTAGAGGTGTCTTCTCATGGTGAAATCATAGGTGATGCTTGAGTCGGGGATGATAGGGCTACTCAAACAACAAAGCCTTCAATGCCGGTTGCAAGTGGGACTACAAAAAGAAAAAGCATGAAGCCAAATTATATAAGAATTTGGGGATAAGGATTGTATGGAATTTGTTGTAATTTTGTTAGTTTGTTTGGATGTTAATTAAGTTTGGATTGATGCAAGAAAGATGAAGTTGATTATTAGTAATATATGTCTGGAATTTAGAACTTTTGTTACACCTTTCAAATATTTAAATTCATTGTCCAAAAGAAGCCCAAAAAATTCATAATCTTACTATTTACCCTTTTTTTGGCATTCCAAATTAGTATGATACATTTTATAAAAAAAAGCCCAAAAAAGGGCCCACTGACTGAACAAGCCCACTAACCGAACTGAAAATATTTCGGTTCGATTAGTTCATTACATTCGGTTTCGGTTCGGTTTCAAAATTATGATATGTTCGGTTTTCGGTTATCTTCATTAACCGAACCGAATAACCGTTTGCTTAGGCCTAATTCTCTCAGTCTCTCCTCTCTCTCATTCAACTGAAGCACCGAAAGAGAAAAAGAAAAAAAAAATGCAACAAATTTCGCTGTTTTTTTTAGCATGGGTATTTAAGTAATTTTTTTATAAAACTGAGCAAAATAACTCTCCTCTAAACAAGACAAGGGTTAGAACCTATAACCTTTGGCCTCCTTAGCAACCTTTATTACCATATATCTCTAAGCTCTGTTCAGTACTCAAGCTACAACAATTAATATAAGTATTAATTAATTTATTATGAAAATTTCAAGATTATTACACTTATGGAGTGCATAGTCACACCACTACTACAACAGAGACTTTTTACTTCTATTCTGAAGGGCTTTTTACCTCTATTTTTTTGGAGGGGGATATAAAAAGAAGGGACATAAATAAGTATTCACATTTCACTTCTATTTTGAACAAATGTGAAAAGTCGGACTTTTCTTGTCTATCCAAAAATAGGTGTGAAAAGGGCTACTTTTCATGTCTGTTTTTAGGAAAATAGAAGTAAAAAGTGGCTCCTTTCCCTTCTGTCTTCGGAAAAAGAGAAGTAAAAAAATGACATTTTCTTTACAAAAAAGAGAGGCTCTTTAAATCACTTCCAATCCAACAAAAAAATGTCCTCTACTCAAAAGTCACTATATAAAGAAGATTTATACATAAAAACATAATAAGTCAAATCACAACATATATATTAATTGTAGTGTTATATAAATACTCAAAAGTCACAATAATAATGTAACATGAAAGTATCTAATACAAGTAAAATCACAAGGCCATTAGAAAGGACTGATTGAGATCAAAGTGAGTATTGACAGTTATACTTATGGGAAGAATCCATCGCTCTTCTTCAAAATCCATAGTTCACAACTTGTTCCTTGCAAATCCATAGTTTTCGTGGTTTTGAGATGTGAACTGCATGTGAAGGAAAGCACTATTTTAGAATTAGGAAAACAAATGAAGTTACACTAGTGCAAAATACAATTTAAAACTTCAACTTGAAAGTAATTTCAACTTATGGCCCGGAACACATAACGTACAGTTTCAATGCATGGCATAATTCATATGAGAAGGTTCAAGAATTAACAATAATCTCACTACCTTCACAGCTTGCATCTTGTGGCATCATAGTCAACTTGTTTGTCCAACCCAATAAGAGCTTGCAATTCATAGGCTCACTGCTGCAAACCCGTAGAGTATTGTGCTAACATTTCTTCAATCAACGTTTGATACTGAGAGTCAACAAGGAGTTAATTAAATTTCAGCATCAACTTCCATAGAGATAACAAGATTTATATTTTTCCTAACAGCATACACCCATACAAAAGGATTGTTTAAACTAATAAATAAATTCTGCTGTCAAGGACTTATATGCTAAGCATGTCTAGGCAGAGGGCAAACATGATGCACAGAAATTCAAAATTCAAAATCTAATTTGAAAAAAAAAAAACAAAGAGAAAAGGATGTGGACTGGGTTGTTATCAGTTATGACTCAAAATCAGAAGAGACAACCGACCCAATTTGCATAACAATAACATAAAGAGGACCAAATTGTTCTGCCTTCATTATTAAAGATTTAAAAAAAAAATTGAAACAAGAGATTAAATGATCGAAATTTGGTACCTGAAAACATGTTATAAAAAATACTATTATATGAATAAAGAAGTAAACAACAACAATAAATCTTTTTCAACTAGTACCCAAAGAATATAGATACGACAGTAATTAAGAAAAGACAAAATGAAGAAACTTACCACTTGGGAGTAATAACAACAAAAATTGAGGAAGCTTCTATAAAGCCTCTCCTCAATCACTGTAAACAAGAATGAATGACTTAGGCATATCTTTGACTAACAACTAACAATTAGATTTACTAGCTGCAAGCTCTTCTATATGAGAAAAAATCATTTTAATATATGCCAAGTAATAGGGAAAACAGGATTGCTAGATAACACAATGCCTCGGCCTCTTCTTTGCCCTTCTTATTAGTGGGCACCCTATTCTAATGCAATAATTATTAGCTTCCCATTATTTTGATTCAAAATTAGGAGCAAAAAAGTGAATGATAAAAAAGTAGATAACAAAAAAGAAATACAAGCAAATCTAATAAGAAACTTAAAGTTACTTATACTAAAATAGTAATAAAACTGAAAATAATAACAACAACTAATTCTAATAATAAAATAATAAAATACTAACAAATCTAAATAAATCCTAAAAATCTAAATAATCTAAATATCCTAGATAATTCAAATATTCTAGAAATATAATAAACTCATAATTATTTTTTTTCCATGTCCCATTATTTCTCCCCTACTTGAAGAACTCGACTCCTGATAAGTTAAAATTGATGCACAAATCTTGGGAGGAAAGGGAGGGGTAAAGAGCTTGGCATAATACTTCAATTTGGGACTACTTTCCAATGAGGAAGGTACCAAAAGAGGAACCATTGGCAACAATGAGCAACTGGATCTTGGATAGTATCTAGAAAACTTTTCCAGTGTACAAGATACCGTTGGAGTGATTTGTTCAATAATAAGGCAATCTTAGGAGGTGTATGTTTCAAACGAGATGTCACTATAGAATAATGAAACTGATTCTTGCTGGCCACAATATAAGAAGAAACTACTTACACTTGTGCCAATCGAACAATCTGATCAGTATTTGAAATTTTTTTTACCGTTAACGATAATAAGATCAAGGGTCTCGCTCAATTGAATCACAGACATGTCCAGTGGTGCCTGTTGAGTAATATGAATGGGCTCTACATGAGTTGTAGGCACCACTTCACTTTTACAATATCTTCTTTCGTGTTTAATGAATGAGCTTTGATCCTTATTAGTTTAGTTACTTGGAGAGCCTTTTCCACTTGATTCTTTGAATTACTGATGAATTTCATAAGCTTATCAATTCCCTCATTAACTCGTTTTTCAAACTTACTGGGTGCATAGTTACATGATTATTTCTAGTAGTCAAGTTTAGCTTCAAGTTATTCTATTTGCACCTTGCAACCAAGTTGTCGTTACATGACATACTCATAACAGTAATGATATGTAGAATTAGCATAGTATTAGGCAATGTAATCATCACAATCAACATAGTCATATTGCACCTGGTTGACATACCGGTAAGTGTGAGTAGTGTATCTAGTACAGTCATGATCAATATCCTTATATGGGGTGTCATGTGTATAGTGAAGCTTTCTGTAAAGGTATTCTTTATAACTTATACTTAAAACTAAGTAGCATAACAATTCTTTTCTTACTCTCCTTTTTTTTCCCTAAACTAACTTTTCTACCATCTAAATTTTTCTTCTCCCTTTTTAAATTTCCTTCCTCCTTTTTTTTAAATTAGAGAGGCTAAATAAAACAAATAAATATAATAAAGAAATTGAAAAAGAAATATATCCCAATCTTTCAATAGCTTAGGAAGGTACATAATTGAAGAATGGCCAAATGGCTCAAAAGTGTAATTTTACAAAAATGGATCCAAAAGTTTAATTCCCCCTAAACTCTGGGTTTAAAGTGTAATTTTGTCGGACATCTGGGTCAAATTGTAATTGTTTCCAAAAATTTGGGTCAGAGTGTAATTTTTTCCCAAACTTTGGGTCACGAAATGTAAATTTTGTGAAATACAATGTGATGCACGAGGAATTCACTCGTAGACGTTGAGGAGGCACATGGAGGGGTGTGGAGGCTCTTTTTGATTTTGGTCAACTTTGGGTTCAGATCGTGTTCATGAGGGCAATTCTAACTATACTGGTGGTGTCGTGATTTGACATAAAAAATTCGGGATCTGGGACTATTGGCTGACGGTTATGGCAGGAAAGTCATGAGTTGGGAAATCTGATCAAATTTGTTTGCAACGGTGAGGAGGATGGTGGTGGAGACGCAGCAATGAGACGTTGGAAAATCAACAGATGTGTTGATGCGGCGGTTGCGGATGGTTTGAGGGAAGCTGCATTTAGTTGTCAAAAGAAAAGAGTTTAGGCACAGAGAAAAAGATAGGAACCTAGTTCTTCTTATGCCAAATTGATAATTTATAATTATTTTAGAAATATAATAAAATTATAATTATTTTTTTTCATGTCCTATTACTTACCCTCTTTAAAAAAATATTGAAAATAGGACATCAAATTGAGAAAAATTAGGATTTACCAAAAATAAAATTGAATAAAACACATTGCACCTACCAGCCTAGACTTTATTTTTCATCATGATTTTCTTTATTAAATAATGTGCTTTGATAATAATATATACTATTCCACAAAAATTGACTTCAAGATACTAACTACTACTAGAAAAATATGTTAGGACATTGAATGTACTAAAAATTAGCTTAAAATATTGGGTGCTATTAAAAAAATACTTCAGTGTGATAAATGTTAGATGCTAAATATTACGAAAAAAACTTTTAAAATATTAGGTATTATTGAAAAATATTTCAGAGTAACGTGTTAGATATGGGGTGCTAGTAGAAAAATATTTTACTATGCTGAGTGTACTAACAATTAATTTAAGAAAATACAAAAATATTTTAGGGTCCCAAAACAATGTGGTTTTGGGCAAGCAACAAAAAATCGAACTGGATACTAAACTAGTTCAGAGAGTGGTTCAAAGGTCAGTGGGTTAGAACAGGGTCAACTCGAGTTCAAACTGATCATATTAAAATAATATAATTTAATTAAAAATATCAAAGTATAACAATATTAATAATTACTGATGACAAATTATAAGAAAATACAACAGTGGTTTGAT